TTTTTATCAATTTGGCGAGTAAAATTTACAGAAACTGTTCAAAATTACGTCCGTTGGCTTGAATGCACGCATTACATCTTCTAATCATGTTTCTTTCTGCCGCTGCGGCTTCACCTCTATCGGTCAACTTTTCGATAGTATTGACATGGATTTCATAAACGATGCATTTCGTTCTCCGGATGTTCTGTTCAGTTACTTGCACTTGCAAAATGTTCAAAATGCAAAATGCAAAAAGTATTCGAAACGTTAGCAAAATGTTTGCTTTTGTTCATAAAAAGTCATTTTTCTTGAAAACGGTTGACTTTAGAGCAATGAACCAAGAGAACTCTTATTGTGTAAAATTCATTGGCGCTTTAGAATTTGCTGTCAAAAGTCAATTTTTCCAGTGGCGTAAAATTTAGGGGGGGAAAAACCCTTACGATACCTTAAAATCTCCACCACTGGCACGTCCAATGAATTCGAGAAGGGTGCGAAAAAGTAGCTATTAATAGTGGTAATGTGTGTACAAAAGCTCAGTCCTGTAGTTCAAACGATTCCTAAGATATTGGCGAAAAACTAAAAAAAAATTAAAGTTTTGACACCGTGTATCTCGAAAACGAAAGCCCGGAGAGAAAAATGGAAGAGGAAAAAAATGTTTCTTTTTTCAAGAGGAATTTACAGTTTTCCGTTGCGACACTTATTTAGGAACACCCTGTATAACGAATTTCTTATGCTGAATGGCAACAAAACTTTAAAAGAGTTTTTCGATAAACCACTTTTTCTAACTGGCCGGAAACATAACTCAAAAAGTCATTTTGAAAAAATTCACCTGAAAACATGTACGATAAAACCTTTCTGTTCCTGATACTATATCTTGTATCGATTTTTTTTTTAATTCCCAAAAATCGCCTTTTTCCAACCTCTAGAGCTCTAGAGTGGCATTATCCTTTAAACAAAAAATGTCCATAGTAATATGCGGAATAAGATTCCAGAATACAAAATATAGACTGCCATGTCGTTGAAAAACAAAGTTGCTCTTCGAATGTCCTTGTAGGGCTACGATTTTAAAAAAATAATATATCGTCCTATCTTTTACAGATGAATTCTAAAATAAAATGAAATATCCTGGTGCAGGTATATGTATAATATGAAGGAACTGCAAACTGAACTGAATCATGTTTGAAACCTATATCTTAAATAGTTCTTGAGTAGTTGATCAAAAACTGTAGTTAACATTCTTTGAAAGTTCACAGAGCCCTTAAGGACCGCTTTAGAAAAAAATGGTTACTGTTGCTTCTTTTGTCTATTTTGACGAGAAGAACTGACTGAAATTTTCTAGCAACGTTGCTGTTATACTCTGTAATTTTTTTAATTTTGTTGTTATATAATTGATCATTCATGTCCAGACGGTATCTGTTTCAAAAAGCCATATTTGGCTTTTTTTGGCTTTCAAATATCACTAGAAATGAAAATTCTTCTATGCGCATAAAAAAAAACGTGGGCTTATCTTTTGGTGGCACAATATGTTAAAAAAAAATCGAAAAATGTCATATTTTTCTTCCTATTTCATTATGTATCTTTTCAAGAGTTGATTTTAGGCGAAAATGGAAGAGGAAAAAAATGTTTGGAATTAAATTTTTTACAAAACATGACTAGTTACAAATCGAATGAATCATGATTATTATGGTAAAAATCGAAAAAATCACAAAAATGAGGTTAAAAAACAATACTTTTTAGGGAATTTTTTTGGTGTATTTAAATTGGGTGTAGGACCTTTATACTTGGCTCAAGAAAACTTCATGTTATGTAGAAGAATCATCACACCAAATTTCATCAAAATCGGTTCTATAGATTTTGCATAATAATTTTGCAATCCAGATTTTGAAAAAACATTTGCAAATTTTCTAAATTTTGCACAGCAAAAATCAAGGCTGTTAGATACTTG